CCCCTCTCCTCCCACTGGCCCCTTTATATCCTGTAACTTAATTCCTTGAGCACTCCAAACTCCCCCTGGCTTCAATGAGCTTTCAGTTGGCTGTAGCCCCAGTGCTGTATGTGCATCCATGCAGAAGGAGCCTTGCACTTGCATGGAGCAGGGTGAAGAACTGGAGCCTACGAATACAGACTTTGAGTAATGACAGCACTGGAGCTGGAAGGTGTAATTTCCAGCTCAAGCAGACATACCCACACTAACACTTTTTATGTTACCATGCTAAAAACAGAGTGTGGCTGTAGCAGCAAGAGGGATAGTTGTTCTGAGCACCTGTCAGAGACCCATGGGTGTATAGTCACAGTGGTTAGCCCCTTGGGCCACTCCACTTTTTGCACCCTAGCTTGATGAGAGCTAATGTGAGTATGTCTGCTCAAGCTGGGAATTATACCTTCCTGCTCCAGTGTAGACATACCCTTAAGGGGGAAATCCTGCCCCAGTGAAGCCAATTAGAGTTTTGCCATTCACTCTAAGGCCAGGTCTACACTAACCCCCTAATTCGAACTAAGGTACGGAACTTCAGCTACGTGAATAACGTAGCTGAAGTTCGAAGTACCTTAGTTCGAACTTACCTTGGTCCACACTCGGCAGGCAGGCTCCCCCGTCGACTCCGCGGTACTCCTCTTGCCGAGCTGGAGTACCGCAGTCGACGGCGAGCACTTCCGGGTTCGACTTATCGCGTCCAGACTAGACGCGATAAGTCGAACCCAGAAGTTCGATCGCTCGCCACCGAACTACCGGGTAAGTGTAGCCAAGGCCTAATTGGGGCCAGAATTTTACCCTATGGCTAAATCTTAGTTTAAAGTGTTACACTGTAATATGCTTCCTTCATGTTTGTAAACCAATCATCTGAATCTATCATGGAGACAAACATAGATTTTACCTTTTTGTTTTAGGGGGAAACAAGCTACACTGTTGCCAGAATTACTGTGTGCCCCAGCTGTTGCTTAAAGTTAGTACAACTATAATACAAGCCCATGTCCTGATTTGAAATATCATATATATTCTTTTAACTTAATTAAAATTAAGGGGTAAGATATATTATAATATAGACTATGGGAAAGACTTGGCAGCCTTGAGTGCTAATTTAATTATAAGAGGAGCTAGTCTTCTTCTTAGCATATGCACAACATGTCTCAAGTGGCACGTGACCAGGATTCATCGCCCGAATTTGGTCCACTGGTTGGATCATTAGCTTCCACGGCTTGGGCCAGATACTGATGGCAAGTGTGACCTGAATGCTGATCCGAAATGACTGTATAAAATAGGGACCTGGATCTTGTTTTGAATTAGAAGCATATAAAATTTCTCCTTAAATATTGAAACTCACCTGTGTATCAGGAAGCAGCTCAAACCAATTTAAGCTTACGATTCTAATTTTATGATATTAAGTAAAAAGTATGGAAGAAGTCATGCATAGGCATGCTTTCTAATATTCAGAAAGAAGTACAATAGGCTGTGTTTACATAATGCAAACAGTTTTGGTTTAGGTGCTTTATGTCCTTAATGCTTTTATCCATTAACTTTAGACCATAACTGCAAAATAATATTAACAACATTAATAATTACACATCCTTAAATTCACTTTATAGGTGTACAAATAGCAGGAATATTGTTTGAGATATGAATCCACTGACTTGAAATAACTAAAATAACTTTATATTAAGATGATTGTTTTTAAAATTACTGAATAAATAAGGCAAGATTAGTGATCACTTACACGCTAGCTTATCAGAAGCCTATTTTTAAAGAGTGTGTTGTAAAAAAAAAGCCGACGGTAACTTTACAAACAGCCACGTTAAATGAAGCACTGGACCTGATGAATGAGAAATGCACATTATAAGTGCATATATTGAAGAACTGGCTGCTGAATCCTTAATTTAATACTTAAATGAAGATCTGATGTAGACAATTTTTTCCAAAGGAAATATATTAATAAGTATTTTCCTTGAATCATCTATCTAATTCATGACCAGAAGGAAAGAGTTTATCACCTTCCAATCTCTCCAATATATCAAATCTGAGTCATACTGGTCTCCAAAGACATGTAATTTCCTTACTGTTTTCAATGTAAAAAGTCATTTGTTTACTACAAAGTTGCACAGCGTATATGATAATTACATACAGTAATTATGAAAATATTAAACATCTCCTGTGAAGGAATATTCTCAAAGCAAAATTCCCCCTCCATCTCTGCTAGCCTAATGAGAGAAGATAGCAAATGTTATTACTTACCAGTCTATCCAAACTTGTACCAGCAGCTGTTGTTGGTCTCTCCTCAGGATTGTATGGCCTAAAGCGGGTATTGAAGTTCTCGGGAACAGAGCGGGAAGATCTTAAAGCAGGTGCTGGTTTAGGCTGGCCACATCCTTGAAAGACCTGAAAGAAGCATTTTAGGTTACATCAAACCTTTAAAAAGGAAGAGTGATACTTTACAAGTGCAATATCCCATTCACAGGTTTGTAACTCAGCATCGATATCCTGGTAGTAATGAATTAACTACCAGCCCTAACTCAAAACTTCGACGGACATCATTACTAAAATCTATTCAAGGGATTTGCAGTAATGTATAGGGCCTTTTTCATCTAGGTCACATTTTGAGTTTAGCCCATTTTGGTAGTCATTGAAATGGGCTAACATCTGAATGATGTTTGGGTTGTTATCCCTCCAGAAAGAGAAACAAGAAAAAAAATCTTTTGTGATTGGATGCAGCTGCAGTTGGTTTCAAATTAAGTTAAGACCTGTTAGGTATCCACAAATACACCCCTCCCCCCAACCACAATTGGCACTAATTGGTAATCTTGTTGGCAGTCTCAGAAGAGAGGTCAAGGGCTCAATGGCCTTATAACTTAACTAGCATCTTATCCCCCTAAAAGATGGTCTCTGCACATCAGAGCTGAGGTACACTGACTGGGCAATCATGAGGAGTATGTTCTACCATTGTTCTTGTTCACTGGATAAAGATATGTCTCAGGGATGTCAGTCTGGCAGTTTTCAGAGGCACCAGTTTGAATTAATTATAAAGTCTGAATAAAAAAAAATTGGAAAAAAATCAGTAGAATATAAGCAGTGCTGTTTTTACTGCACATATTGAAGGAGAGCACTAGGGATGCTATTGAATATCTATTAATATCTATAGATAACGAAAGCTGGATTTTAACTTCACCAGCCTTCACACAAACTAGGGTGGCCAGGTGCCCGGTTTTCTATCAGAAAGTCCAGTCGTAAAGGGGACTTCATAGTGAAGACCCAAAGTCCGGTTACTGTGGGCAGGGTAGGTGAGGAGGCACCGGGTCACCATCAGTGCCAGCCCTTACTCAGCCGGGGCCACCTCCTACCTGCGTTGGGCAGCTGCAGCTCCCAGCCCCGGCTCTGTAGGTGAGTCCTTCTCGACCCAGGAGGAGAGGTGAAGAATAGCAAGCTCTGGAAGGATGGGGGAAGAGGAACGAACGGGGGGCAGAGCCTCAGTGGGGAAAGGCGGAGTAGGCAGGGGCCTCAGGGGACGAGGTAAGGCCTTGTTGGGGAAGTTCCAGCACTCCTGCTGGAGTGTCTGGTTTTTAAAAATTAAAAAGTTGACAACTCTAACACAAACAGACGTTCAACTTTTTAAAAAAATGAGTCATGTGGAGGTTTCGCTATAAGATTTTCTACTGCTGCTTTGAAACTGAAGGCCAGAATTATCCACAGAAGAGCAGACAGTCGTCATTCTTAACTTATTAAGCCTCCATTCAGCAAAGTGCTTAAACATATACCTAACTTTTAGCACATGAGCAATCCTGTCCTTATTCAGGGAAACACTTAAGCAAGGTGCTTTGCTGAACCAGGATGGAATTATTCATACACTTAAAGTTAAATACAGGTACTTGTTTAAGTGTTTTGCTGAATTGGAGTCTTACTTAGTACTCTTACCATAGTACTCTGAGTGTACCCAGTGCTATACAATAGGGTTAAAATAAGTAAGGATGTTTCTGGCATACAGGGTACAGTTATAAAGACAACTTTGATAGGTAGGGCCCCACATATTCATAATGCCAAATTGAGCTGGTCAAAAATTTTCCGACGTTTTTTTCACTGGATAATATGGCTGCACTGAAACTGATATTTCCATGGCAAAAGTCAATTTCACCAATATTTTATGATTTTTCTCATGATCATTTTTTAAAAAAGTTTCATTTTGAATTGATATTTTAACTTAACATTTCATTCTAATGTCATTTACAATCAAATTGACCTTTCCAAACAATTTTTTGTTTTAGATTGACATGTAGAAACAAAGCGTTTCAATATGAATTGGCATTGCGTTTTTATATTTCATGTCAAAATGGTTTGTATTGGTCAAAAATGTTGAAAATTTTTGTTTAGACTTTTCTGAATAGTTTTTTTTAATTTTTTGTTCAGTGAAAATGTTTGATATTTCATCTTTTTGTCTCAATTAAGGATGAAAACAAATTTTGAAATATCAGAATTCCCTGTGGATGGACATTCTGTTTTTCAACCAGCTCTAATACCAAACACAAACAATTTGCCTAAATTTGCATACTGTTCTCGTGAACTGCTAGTAATCCCATTTCTCTTCAAGTAATCTACTATGGTATTTTTTCTTTCTATTTCTATTTCATTTTTTTCTATCACATATTGGAGAATTGGTACAGATTTTGATGCATTTGTTGAAATATAAAAGTTTTTTCTTGCATTGTGTATGTTTTTGTCATCAAATTTGCATGCAACCAGACAACAGCAGAACTCTATAGTACTTTACAGATTTGGAGAGGAGAAATCATCTTCTCCTTTTAAAGTTATCTCACAGTAATACAATGAAGATGCAATCCGCAGTTTGTTAACTACACAAAAGGGACATTTTCTAACCTGTACGCAGGTGGTAACGGACAGGACAGGAAGTGAAAAGATGAGTCTTGGGATTTCAAAATGTAGACTAAGAAGGGGCACATGAACATTTCCTGAACAAAAAACTATTAGGTGTGTGAAAGAATATACCTTATAGATTACTGGACAACATCCAGCCTGCTAGTTTTATGGTGTGAATTGATGGCTTGAAGGTTAGTATTTCAACTTTGGGATTTGAATGAATCAGTTTAGGCATCTGAGGTCTGGAAGGTAACCGTCTGCTTTCTTTTTAAAAAAAATGTGTGTGTGTGTGTGTATGGAGAGAGAGAGAGAAGTTTGGAGAAGAGGAAGTGTAGTTTTGATAATACTGGGGAACCCATTTTTTCTCCTGTGTTGGTAATGGTGGATCAAGCTAGAAGAAATGTCCAAGCTGCCTGTGATAGTGTTATGTATTTGTCCTTGCCAGACAGCCTAGAACTATTGCTGACATCTGCCAATTTAATTCTCACTTTCTTCAAACACAGAGATGGTGTGCAATGACGTCACCAGTCAGCTATTACATTTTAACTCTGCATACAGTGCCAAGCCTGCCCCACTCTCTCAACAAAGCCGTAGCACAAAGGGTGGTTCGGGTTTGGTTTATACCCAAATGATCCATCCTTAATCAAAATTGCCAGCATATCATTCTTTGCCAGAAAAGGACAACAACAAAGTTTACAAAACATACAATAAAAATAAACTACCAACATTCCCAATAGCAGTAACATATGATGAAGACATTCAAATCCTACATTTCACCGACAGAGTTCCTGGGGAAATAGGGGATACAAAATGAAAATACTGTCAGAGAACCCTGAAGTATCAATCCCAGATTTTAGCTGCAAAAGAGAGAATTAGAACAAATACTAACTTGCTGACATATACTGAAGGAATAAATATATGGATTAGTTAATTAACAAACAGATAATTAGCATAACAGTCGTAAAGAATACAAGTAAAGAAATCAAAGAAGTTGTGCAGGAAACAGGAGGAATGAAATGTAAGACACTCAGACCTGATTCAGAGAAGTACTCATACATGCCTAATTTTAAGCACATGAGTAGTCCCATTGATTTAGGGAACAATCCAATTCCCACTAATGTCAATGGGCCATTAGAGAATTTAGAGAAAAAACATCCAAAACATTAGCTAAGACCGAATCCCTACAGCATCTAACAGATGAGAGGATAAAGTGAAAAAATGAACAGAAGACTGTGCAGAAGGAGAGCACCAAGAATGGTACTGAATATCTATCGTATAATATGCAGGCGTAGGAAACTGGATGGGTACTTCAATATCCGATCTAACACTCAAAAAGAAAGGAAGGATAAACAATGAATATTAAAAACTGAGACGTAATATGTTTTTTTACTGCTGCTTTGGCATTGATGGCCACCATTATTCACACAGGAGCATACCTTTTTATTTATTTATATAGCACTGTATAATAGGTGAACTGTGCCAAAAATATGATCCTTGTCCCAAAGAAATTCCAATATAAAATCACAGTAAGCACAATACAGAACAGTGCCTTGCTCAACAAACAAATTGGTGAGATTATATTCTAATGGGAAAACCTTATGAAACAGGCAGGCTTTCAGAAAATATTTGAATTAGGAGAGGGATGGAATTTGGAGTAAAATAACTATGAGGCTGTGTCAGGTATATAGGAAGGAGTTATCAAGATGTCTTTCAGAGAGATTGCCCCAGGTACACCATGCCAAACTCAAAGGGTCAAATTCTCAGTTGGTAAACTGGGATAGCTCTGTTGATTTGAAGACAGCTGCACCAGTTTACACCAGTAGATAAACTGACTTGTTAAACAACAGCCAGATTTCCCAGTAGCAGTGACTGCATTTCAGTGGTGGGTAAAGTGAAGCCTCTATGTGTGTATGCATGACATTATATGTATATTACAGTATAATTTTCACAAGAGACAATGCTACATTTAGAGGCTAGTGGTATGCTGACTGAGAGCCCTAATCAATCCATCTTGAGAGAGGGGTCAGTCTAATGTATAGTCCAGAATTGTCTGGAAAAAATGTAATACTGGAAAAATAGTATGCTGCCCAAGGAGTGTGTTAAATCTCTAGTGTCAATATCCATTCATTTATCTAATATTTTCCAGCAGAAAGTGGTATTTGATAAGTTTTCCTCCTAGAGTTTGAGAATAACTGACAAATGTAAATGTCTTCCTAGATCAGCTCTGAAATTCTCTTTTATGCAGCCAAATTATATCTATATTTAATTTTCACCTAAGTTATATCCAGGGAGGGCAGTAGCTATAAATGGAAAAATTTACACTACAGAAAACTGATTCAAAGTCTACTAATACATGGTATTCCTGTATATCAATGGATCAGAAGGTGGCATACATAGGTATATTATGCAACACACTTATTTTTATAAGCAAAAGATGACTGTTATAATCCAGTTGTGTGGGGGGGTGGAGGGGGACATGGACCAGCGTTCCCGTCGCACTACCCATCTGTACCTGCCATGACGCGGGGAAGCTAAAGATCCAACCAGTGGACCAAATTTGCTGGTTACATGCCACCTGAAGCATGTTGCGTATATGCTAAGAAGAAGATCCAGTTGTGAATGCTGTTGTATTCTTGAAGGGAAATTTGTAAATGATATGCAATGCATTTCAGTCCCCTGGTTCACGACAATTGATTTTGAAGAATGATTTTCCTCTTCTCTGGAGTCATTGACATTAATGACACAGGCATGAGGCATATCATTAATGTTCAGGGTAGGTGGGAACTGAAGAATTTCAAGAGGAGATCATACCATTGAACCAAAACAATCCAACGCCCCAAACTCTTATTATGGTGAACACTTTATGGGTTACTTACAGGAGGTCTGACTTATTGGAGAGGCATGATCTAAAGGCATGGATTAAATCTAGAAAGGTGAGGGAGCCATAATCAATAAAACTCCCTCAAGCAAGAGGATTTCCCTATCAGCTATAAAAGTACAGTAAGGTTAATTTCACTGTTATAAAAGGCTTCCACAGCTCAGGATTTTAGGAAGGGTGTGACCAGACTTCCCCACAAGAAATGAAAGCTTTACAGTGCAAATGGAATAGTCCCATGATTTACCAACCATTATAGCAATTCAAATATTTTCCAGTGAAAGGATAAAAGTCTGTATTATTGCAAGTGAGAAGGGAGCTGAGTTCACTCCAAGGAGTGGTGGTGTCATTGATCTAGGCAGGAAGGCCTTTTTCCTGGCCAATTAAAAAAAACATTGCTTGCTCTGGGGAGCAAGCGATCAAAATGAAAATTAAATCGATTAGAACATACAGACTGGGTGAGTTTTCAATGAAAACTTTTCTTTTAAGGAAAAGTTTTGCTTCTTTCTTGGTTTAAGGGTGGAGTATGCTACAAAGCCAGGCTATAAATCTCACAGCATAGGAGAGAGTGTGGTTTGATTCTCAGTGTGTCTGGTGAGCTCTAAGATCACCACTGCAGGAACAGGGCCTCATCATGCAAAGTGTAGAGCACTGTTAAAATCCTAACAACTTCACTGAGAATTGAAATGCTCAGCACCTTGCAGGACTGGGTCCATAAATAGCAGGTTTTGGGGATTTTTAAAACAAACAATCTCAAACCTTCTCCCTCCCGCAACTTCCTAGTTACAGTAGTTTCTTTCTGGGAAATGAAAAAGCACTGAATCAGCTAGCAGCCTTGCAGTGCTGAGCAGACATGAATACCCAAGTGTGTTAGATCAATGAGAATTGGCCAGTCTTTTGATGCAGAGAAGATAGCAAGACTATTGACTTCAGATACTGTACCAAGGAGTACCACTAAAGATAAATCAAGGAAAAGTCTTCTGTTGTTCACTAACAGCTCAACAATACTTATTACTGAATTCAAAGGACCTTGATAATAATGGGTTCAGAGGAGCTACTGGTGGATGCATAGATACACACACTGAAGATGGAAAGGAGGAAACTCTGTTTATTGCTATGTCAGATTGTAGACAAGACTCTATCAAACTGAGGTCTGATAATCAGAGGCAGTAGAACATAATCCTGTTTTTCCTGAGTTGCCATTAAAAGGAGGTTAAATGGGATGTTTAATTTATTCACCTCCAGCATGTCATGCATCAGTCTGACCTATACAGATGAAAGCATGGTTAGATGTTAATAAGGAAAGTCACAGACCAAGCACATGTGGAAGTTACAGACCTCACTCCGCAGACTGCCTCTTATAAAGCAACCACAGAAAGTTCCCAACAAATATGAAACATTATTCAACATTCTTTGTCTGTCATAAACCTTTTAGCAGCCAATAATATGTAGCTAATTGAATGGTACTTTTTGCAACACCATTCTTGCTTGAAAAAAATCTACAGAGTTTTTAACAAGGTGAGACAGTTAGAGTGGGCCAGGTGCACTCAAAGAGAAGAAACTATAATTTTGAGTAGCATGGTCAATCCTTCATAAACAGAGGATAGCAGACAGGGCTTGCTAATTTTTCCCTGGCTGCAACATTCAAGAGCGGATAATAAGTGACTTGCACAGTACCTTTGCTGACACCTGCATACTGTTCTCTTGCATGTTCATGATGGCTTCAGAAATCTTGACATCGATAGGATCCATGACTGATTCAATGTTGAATGGCCCCTCTAATCTCTCTGCTACCAAGAGCATAGCATCTGTTAAAACACAAAGGAGCCATTCCCTTAAAGAAAGGGTACCCAGAGAGCATAGAAAAGCTAATGTTATACCGCTTAGCTTGTCCTGCCAGAGCTGGGAATATCCAAATGCTCCTGGCCTGGTTCAGTATTCTGCAGATGTGTGTCAGGGGGACATAAGAGACTTTAATGTAATGGAAACTTTCTCTGCAGATGTAATCTCCTGATTATCATAACTACCTAACAACCACCACCAAAGTAACAGAGATTGTAAAAGTTATATTAATAACAGCTACCATAGCATTATCAATCTGAGGAGAAAACTTCTTCATATACAGACTGTATCTCAACATTCTGAAACAGATTTATTCTCTAGACTACCTAATCTTATCCATCAGAAAAAGCAGGTGGATTGAAATGAACCCGTGGGTATATTTCTGGAGCTTGCCCAAGATGATGAAAACTTTGATATGAGATATCAGGATCTTATAATTAAAACAGCTGTTCTTTGTGATCCCAATGATCCATTTTTTGCAGTAATAACGGAGGATAAATATTGGATTTCTGCCATAACAAATAGGTATAAACCAGGTTTTCCCCTCTATGTATTTTCAAAATGCAGCTAAATATTGTCTGCAGAAAGACATATTGTTTTCAACTTCTGTGATTTACACAACCTATTATATCTAATTACATGGAAGTCACTCTCAGTATAATTTTATTTAGTGGGTTCTTTGATGAATAAAAATGAGTACCAGCAAATAACTTAATAACAATTAAAATGTTATAATACATAATACAAAACGCTTAAATGAATATGTATGCATTCATAGCTACAGATGAATTGCATTTATATTGGTGCTAGCCACATAATAAACTGTAATTCCGTCATGTAATAAATTGTATTGATCATACACCTTTGACCTTCTTATACATACTCTGCCTGCTGATCCACCGCCCTGGACATATTTTAACATTCCAGACCTGTAAATAGCTTCAAACAGCATCTATTTATTAAAAACAAAAAACAACCTGCAAGAGAAAAATATCCTTCTTTCTCCCCAAAACCGTAGAATTTCCTCCAAAATGTATTCTGGACTGGGTCCAAAAATGGCATTATTCAAGTCCTGCTGCCTATTTAAAGTCTAATACCTTGCATTCCTTTAGGGCTGCCAATGGGACACACAGCACTTGTTTCTAACCCTGGGTGGTACTGAGATATTAGACATGCAATTTACAGCACAGAAAATAGTACTTTGGGTAATGTTGTTTTACTTTATTATTTACAATGCTCTTTTCCTCTAACTATACACTTGGACACATAGTAAAAAGAGGTTCTGACTTTATTGACAGAGGAATAAAAAAATCCAGTCCTAATATATATATTAAATATCTTTTAAAGATTTCTACAATACATTTTGCATACTATATGTGGTATATACAGAAAACATGATAGTGTGGTTTGCTATAAAGGTTTTTATAAGCATGAATTTGTGATGACATGTATAAATCATTTGTGGCTACACAGTTTGTGAATAATATGGTCAGACTAAACTCTTGCTGATAAAACCTTTATTACATAACATCAACTGCTGAATGTGTGTGCATGCACACCCTCACACCCAGAATTGGTTTTGTTTGGTTTTACAGCCTCCTATGTATATTGTGACTCCACATGATGCTGGTGGTGTACTGTGTGTTTCTTTGTTTATTTGCTTTCCACATGGTACAAGACTTCATAAACAGCTGGCTTCTAGCTGCTTGACAAGTGGATCACAAAGTACAGCGTAGTTAATTAATGCTCTTATCATGTGTTTGTTAGAAATGCCTGGAGCAAAAACATTACTAATAATTCACAATTCACATCACCTGTGCAAAGGCAGAGTAAATGGGCTGTGAGCAGTAATCCTGAGTATGTGCAGAGAACACAATACAACTGGTGTGCATGGTGCAGATAATAACAACAGCTCATGGCTTGCAGGCTGCCCCAAACAGGAGTTAGGTAACTGAATGATGCAGCTAGTAAATCAAGTATCAGAGGGGTAGCCGTGTTAGTCTGGATCTGTAAAAAGCAACAAAGAGTCCTGTGGCATCTTATAGACTAACAGATGTATTGGAGCATAAGCTTTCGTGGGTGGATACCCACTTCGTCAGACGTCATGCGTCTGACGAATGGGTATTCACCCACGAAAGCTTATGCTCCAATACATCTGTTAGTCTATAAGGTGCCACAGGACTCTTTGTTGCTTTCTAGTAAATCAACTAGCAGCACCTACCGCCTACCTAAGACCCCCCACTGTATGGTCCCATGGAGATAGTTGCAATGCTGGGGTCTCCTGAACACCTCTTTAGAGTCTCTCTGTCCCCTGTTGCCCATTCTCAGATGTACCCTAGCACAATGGTTCTCAAACAGGGGTATGCAGAGGTCTTCCAGGGGGTACATCAACTCATCTAGATATTTGCCTTGTTTTACAACAGGCTACATAAAAACACTAGCAAAGTCAATACAAATGCAAATTTCATACAGACAATGACTTGTTTATATTTCTGTATATACTATACACTGAAATGTAAGTACAATATTTATACTCCCATTGATTTATTTTATAATTATATGATAAAAATGAGAAAGTAAGCAACTTTTCAATAATAGTGTGCTGTGATTTTGTACTTTTATGTCTGATTTTGTAATCAAGTAGCTTTTAAGTGAGGTGAAACTTGGGGTACACAAGACAAATCTGATTCCTGAAAGAGGTACAGTAGTCTGGAAAGGTGGAAGGCCCCTGCCCTAGCAGATCACTGGTGATTCAGGCTGTGTACTCTCATTAGACGGGACTGCTCTACAAGTCAGGAACTGTTGTAGGAATTTACTTTGTTTTGTTATTTCACTCACAGAACTCTTTTACTTTTATGGGTGCTGTTATTAAAAGAAACAGGACAAAGCTGATTGTTATGTTCTTAAAGTGATTTATCTGATTTAAGAATTCAGAAGCTTACATATGAATTCCAAGATAAGTGAATGTTTAGACTGTGTACATTTCCAAGCTCAATAATGTATGGATTTATAATTTAAGTAGACAGGAGTCTACATATCTTTCCTATGAACTCCAAGAGCCCATCATTTTTTTCAATTATCTTTACAATGAAAGTGACATTTTCCAGTTTATGTTAATTTCCTTCAGTACAGACTTCCAGATAACTGGTAAATCATGGCCTGATTTTTTTCATCTCTTGAAATAAGAGGCCAGATTGAGAACACTGATTTATGATATAATATAATATAATATAATATAATATAATATAATATAATATATCAAAACAAAAAGCTACTGCATATTACTATTATTTAGTAATTGTATTACTTAGCTTAATAGAGAGATGGTTAACTGGCAACTTGGGAAACAAATATTTAATAGTGGGCTCTTCAGTTTAGCAGACAAAGGTGTAACGCTCCAATGGCTGGAAGCTGAAACAAATTGAGACTGGAAATAAGGCCTGAATTTTGAACAATTATTAACCATTGGAACAATTTATCAAGGGTCATGGTGGATCACCAACAATTTTTAAATCAAGAGTGGAAGTTTTTCGAAAACATAAGGTCTAGGAATTATTTTGGGGGAAATTCTATGGCAAGTGTTATACAGGAGGTCATTCTAAATGATCACAGTGGCTCTTTCTGGCTTTGAACTCTATGAATTACAGAGCACCTATGAAGATGATTATGAGTTCCAATGCTCCCTGTACTCCAGCACTTTTGGGGAGGGCACTTGTGAAAAGAGGGAGTTTTGCTTCCAAAATGCTTTGTTCCCACTTCATTTAATGTTTCAACACCGCGATCTAAGGGGATGTGATTGCAGCTTGGACAGACATGCCCATGCTAGCTGTACTAAAAATAGCAGAGTAGATGCGATGGTGTGGGCTTCAGTGCAGTTGCACAAGTCCACCTAGCATCCTGGGTGCCTACTTGCACTGCTGAAGCCCACGCTGCTGTATCTACACCATTTTTAGCAATGCTATCATGGAGATGTCTACCCAAGCTCCAGTCACACCTCGGACTGCCGTATAGACATACCCTCACTGTATGGTTTGGATTAGTTGGCTTGTGGGGATGGGACTAACTTGATTGTGCCCTGTTATATTCTTCCCCCACACCTTCAGCTCTGCTTCTCTTCTAATGGTAAACTAACATTGGGTTCCCTACTGCAGCCTAGTGTCCTCCTTCCTCAGAGGGAATTCCAGGAGCAGGAAGTGTGATGCATTCCCTGGAAGCACAGCTTCTTCAGGGAGACAGGGGCTGGAGAGTGCTGAGAGCCAGCGTTCTCCACAAATCTTAGGGTATTGCCTATTTCTGGAGAAGAAGGATCTGATGCAAAGCTCACTGTAGCAGAGTGTGGCAGGTCTCCTTGGCTCCTGCCACTGATTGTAAATGTATCTTGATCTTGAGAGTGGAACAGCAGTTTGGGAAAGGGACACAATTGTAATCATATTGGTCTGCAAAGAAATGCTCATTCTACTGTTCTCCTTCCTTGCAGAGGAAAGATCTGTGCTTGCATTGTCATGTAGTTAAGGATGAAGTGAGCTTTCAAAATCGTTATAATGTTAAATTAATAACAAATGTGAACATTGCATTTTAGGTACATATTTACTTCTTTTAAGATAGCAAAAATGCATCCCATAATAATCTGCCAAAACCTTTTACCACTAGAATAAGATTTACTAACAGGGTTCAAGGCGAAACGAAAAAGGAAAACTCCACCTCATGTTTAATGAGGTGCTAAGAGCTCTTTTTTCAGGAAACCTGAACCAGTGCCAGAGCTTCTGTTTCTCGGAGGGTACAGAGTCCATATTGCAAATGGATTATTTATGTGAAAATAACACACTGCTCTCTTTTGGGATGTACATATCCAATTATTAGATTTTTTTCTTTGTCAATTTGATGCAGTTGCAAAAAAGGCAAATATCATTCTGGGGCGTATTAACAGGAATGTTGTACATAAGCCACAAGAGGTAATTGTCCCACT